TCTCAAAAGTTAAGGCGTTTAGGACATACGTCCATAGGAAGTTTTTTTCTTAAAATGGGTCTAAGAATTACCTCCTTAAATATTAGCATGTGTTTAAGGAACACCCTGTATATGCAATAGGCTGAGATTTGCTAGTTTCATGTGAAATACACGTTGAAACCTTTACAAATTACATTTAGAGAGAGTTCACAATCGATTCAAAAAATTCAATCCAGACTGAATGGAACAAACAAATTAGTAAATATCAATCTGTCGCGAGAATCACTAAACATTTCTACTGCAAAGCAAAGAATCAGTTGATCTAGTTTTTATATCTGAAATCATTAATAATTTTTATGATGTTTTAACGTCCTCTTTGAAAGTACCAAGAGCTGGAATTTTCTGGAAGTATTTATATTTTGTTCTGAAATCGATATTTTTGTCACTCCCTTAATTTGAACACAAAACGAAATAAATTATTCCTATATATTATTCATTAACGAAAATACGTCGCGTTTTAATGAAGCTTCGCTGTTTGTTTTGAAAAAAAATGTTATCAGTTTTCATGATACCCTTGTTCGAAAAAATAATTCCCATTTATAGGAAAAATAGTCGACAACAAACTAGTAATTATACCATCCTGTATAGCTATATTCAAATAACGTTTTTAAAACTTTTTGCGTTTCAAATGTTTTCATAGTATTGGATGTACGCTATACAATACCCTTACCGTTCATCAAGTCTTGAAGAGAACACGACGAAGGTCCTCCAAAAACCTGAAGCCCTTTCGCCACATCTATATGGCTTACCAAAAACCCATAGAGAAAATGCGTTATCAAGACCTATCGTGAATGCCATATAGGTTCATCCGCTTACGAGCTGGCCAAATATTTGACGACCCAACTGTAGCCGCTCTGAGAATTTATTAAAGACCTGGGAGAGTTTACAGAGAAGATTGGAGATATGAAGTTAAGTCCAGGGGACATACTAGTGAGCTTCGACTTGGTCTCCTTGGTCACAATGGCTCCGGTCCAGGACACGATGCGGCCAATTGGTCAAGTATTCCCAGAAGATATATCCGCCCTTTTAGCTCATTGTTTATCAGCAACTTATTTCCAGTGGGATGGTGTTTTTACGAACAAACAAGTCAAGTCTGGTGGTGACGAACTTTTTCATGGAATTTCGAACAATGGGCCTTAGAGCAGTAGTAGTAAAGCAAGATGATGAAGAGACACTAAACGATTTTCTATTATATCTAAACTCCCTCCATCCAAAATTATAAATCACAATGGAACGAGAAACCCAAAGGACTATAGCGTTCTTGGATGTTCTTGTGAACAGACGCAAAGATGGTACATTGGGCCAGTGTACAGAAAAACAACACACACAGACAGGTACCTAAATAAAAACTCTAATATGAGAATCTCCGTGAGAAACTCGATCACCTGACAAATATCTTCAAAGGAAATGGGTTCAGCCAAGTAGAATTCAAGCGGGCGATACGACCTAGAAGAGAGAACGCAAAGTATCCCCAACTAGGCTCGTTAAGGGAAAAGAGTTACGTCCCTGAATGTTATAGACCAAATTGGGATAATTTTAGAGAAACACGACGTGTTTCAGCAACACTCCAGGCAACACTCGGGATATACCGGATCCCTTGTAGCTGCGGGTCGGACTACGTTGGAGCAACGAAAAGAAGTATAAGTACCCGTATCTCTGAACACAAGTGAAATTGTCGACCCGGACAAACACAAAAATCAGCTGTAGCCGCACATGATTCCAGAGAAGGCACTCACATTATTTCATTCGAAGATATACAAATACTCGATAAAACTCAGAATGACTATCCAATAATACAGGGTGTACCTAAATAAGTGTAAAACATTTAAGGAGGTGATTCCTCATCGAAAATAAGATAGGATCTTTCATATAAAGAAATTTCATTGGAGAATCCCTTGTTAAGATACAGCCCCTGAAAGGAGGTACATAAAATGTATATAACAACTTTTTTCACAAGCACTAAAAAAGTTACAATATTGAAGTTAACCACACGTTTTGTACTACCAAAAAGACATTTAGCCAGAAATTTATTTGGTTTACCCCATGGTTGTAAGGGGTGGAAAACGCAACCCCTAAAATTTATTATAATGTCAATGCGCCGACGTCTAGACGCATGCGTAATGTCTGAAGGTAGACGTATTTAACATTTACTATGATTTCTTCATGTTGTGTATTTTGTTATTAATAAATTAGTTTTGTTTATTACCCCTTAATCGTTTAATGCAGGTACTAACTACAAAATAACAATAAATCCAGTTCGCATTTATGACGATGTATCTCTGTAGTTGTTCGTAAAATAATTTTCACTATCGGCTATCGGAAATAAATTTTTTAATGGTAAACAAATAATAACGCAAAAAGTTACATTGGAAATAAATTTCAGGGGTTGCGTTTTCCACCCCTTGCAATCATGGGGTAAACCAAATAAATTTCTGGCTAAGTGTCTTTTTGGTAGTACAAAACGTGTGGTTAATTTCAATATTGTAGCTTTTTTAGTGCTTGTGAAAAAAATTGTTATACAAATTTTATGTACCCCCTTTAAGAGGATGTATCTTAACAAGGGATTATCCAATGAAATTTCTTTACATGAAAGATCCTATCTTTTTTTTGATGAGGAATCACCTCCTTAAATGTTTTACACTTATTCATTTACACGCTGTATATAAAGAGGCAACAGAAATTCGGGAACACAGAGATAATTTCAATAGAAAGGCTAGAGGCAATGAATATTAGTAAAATCAGAATACCTACTTATCCTTACAAAAACAAGGCCATTCAATTCAATTAAGACAAACGAAGCTACGCCCACCAATGATGGTATAAAACCTAAGACAAATTCCAATATTGTAGTTTCTGCGTTGAAAACAATTCGAGCTCTTCGACCGTTTCTTTGATAATGTCTACTGCAGTACTAGACACAAACCACGTTTATTATTATAGGTGATATTTGGAATTCTATAAAACTAATATAACTAATATACAGTGCATCCCATTTAAAACGAGCCACCATGCATAACTTTTGACACAATGATTTTCAGAAAAAATAAAAAAACACGTCAATAACTGGATCTATTAACAATAAAGAGCATAACCGTTCAGGAGTTGTCAACGATGAAGCTATTTGTACTGCAGTTTTAGGGCACCTTGGACTAATGGAAAATTCGCAATCTCTTACTAAGTTATCTCGAGAATCAGGAATCAGTCGTACGAATGTTTTCATCCATATAAGATTAGACTCGTTCATGAATTGAACGAAGATGATTTCCATAGACGTATCGAGTTTTGTAAAAGCCTCACTGAACGTGTCAACTTGCATCAGAATTTCTTGTATAAAAAATATTTTTCGGATATATGTACGTTTAGTTTGAATGGAGAGGTAAATAATCAAAATTGTCGATATTGGAGTGATACGAATCCTTATTTATACCGTCAAGTTCATATCCAACGACCTCAAAAACTGAATGTTTGGGCAGGAATTTTAGGTGACCACATCATAGGACCTTTTTTATCGATGATGATTTGAATAGTGAAAAATATTTGGATATGTTGAAGAATTGAATAATACCGTGCATCAATAGGGCAATTGAGGAGGATATAAATTTAATCGAAAACGAAATAGTTTTTCAGCAGTATGGTGCACCTCCTCATTATGCAGCTCCAGTGTGAAAATTTTGGGATAATCATTTTTTCCTAGTCGCTGGATTGGCAGAAGAGGTCCTACATAATGGCCACCAAAGTCTCCGGATCTCACTCCTGTAGATTTATCTCTATGGAGTCATTTGAAGTCTAAAGTGTATGAGATATAATCAACATTAGAAGATTTAAGGGAGAATATCATTAGGCATTTCAGAGAAATAACTCCCGAGATTCTCAACCATGTGGAGGCGGCAATGGAAGTTCGTTTGTACCATTGTATGGAAGTTGGTGGAAACGTTTTTGACCATTTACAATAGAAAAATTTTTCCTTTTCATTGTCCAGTCATCAGATTTTGATTCAAGAATTAATAAAAAATCTCTATTTCTGATTTATTGTTTCCATATTTTCCTCTAGAACGAATATTTCAAAATGTGGCCTCCTGTATAATTGATGACATGTTTTTTTATTTTTCCTTCAAATCATTGTTTCAAAAGTTATTCAGGGTGGCTCGTTTTCAACTCAAATAATTTGTAGCTCCCGAACCATAAGCTTCAGACCATATGTTTCATACTTTGTTGAAATCTGCTCATCATGGAGCATCTAATAATGCGAAACACTATAGGGTGATTCATTAAAAAAGATGGTGTCATGCTCTGGGGGTGCGATAGGGGAATTAATATCAAATGTGAATATGTCAAAATGTGTCCCCCTGTATACTATTGTTGACGTGTTTTTTATTTTTCCTGAAAATCGTACCAAAAGTTATTCATGATGGCTCGTTTTAAATGGAATGCACTGTATAAGTTATGTTTAATTTAAACCTATGAGCGATATTCGAAATTCTCAGCACATTGCTTATGAAGTCACTACACGGGACACTTATTCTTAAAATTTGGTGATGAATCATGCAATCTTGCTGTCCATTCCAATTCATCTTCCTCTCCAATCCATCTACCTGTTCAACACAATGTGATGTAACTGTCTTCAAGTAGCTGAGTGACTATGTGGTTAATAGTTGTATCAAGAAGTTTAAAATGTATTTGTCTAACGAAGTTATCATATTACTATTTACTAGTTACTATTACATGTACCTACAAAAAGATTTCAACATGGTTTCAAACCCGGACATTCTTGCCATTTCCATAATTCACTTTTCAAAAAGTAACATCTTTCAAAAAACAAACAATGACTTGCATGCCTACTGTACAAGAAGTGCTAAAGTACCTAATATCCACCTGAAGCAATGTAACAAACTACTAACTGAAAAGCAAACAGCTAGCTAAAAAGCATATGTTCTGTTTGACCTACTTACTAACGGGCTTACCATCGGAGTCGTCGTCATACCACACGGTGAAATCCCTCTTTCCCAGCTCCTCCAGACACTTGAGACAGAAAGTGTGGAGACACGGAAGCACCCTGGGGTCAGCGTACTGCCTCTTACACATCGGGCATTTCAGCTTCGTCTCCTCTGACTGCACCCCGATGACGCTCTTCGCTCTGGGAGCGACAACTGCCTGCTTCTTCGGTTGGTGAGGCGTCGATTTGGACCTGTCGTGGTGTGTCTTTTTGGGGGACTCAATGGAGCGCCTTTTGGCCGCAGTCGCTTCGTGGCTCTTCTTTCTCGAGAAGCTGCCGAAGATGTAGGATATGCGATCGATGTCCATCATTGCAGCTGCGAAGGAAAAATATGTTTCATGTCTTGATTCGTGATTCGCCATACAATAGCATCTTCGGGGGTAACAATACAGTATTGTGACAAAAATCGAATATGAAGATAATACCAAAAATTTTCTGAACTTGTTGAGTGGTTATGAAGAAAATATTGTTCTGAAACTCTTGCAGGGCATTCAGAACGTACCTCCGTTTTATGCCACTGATCCAAATTTATAACCCTGAAGGAATACACTTCATTTGTACAGAAGTTTTATCTAGGTACAACTGATCAAGGTACAAGTAAAAAATGTTATACTTGCACGAATTGAGAAAGTTTACAATAACATGTCCTAGGCCAATATTCAATTTCCCTTAGCTTATTTCCATGCCTCAATGAAAATCACAGTGAATTTATGACCTCTCATTACGAAATGTACCGCAGGCGTAAATGTTGAACGTAAAACATCGCTTGTATTTATAGTTGGTATAAATAGAACAATTTAGCAATGATTTAATTAAATCGAAACCAGCAATCAGTCATGCGAGTGTTTGTTTATTTTTAAACAGCAACCCTCTTGTGAACATGGACTTGCTGTTAAGGGGGTAATTACAAACGGTCTAAATGGCAGTATTGAAAAGAGCTATTTTTGGAGTGTTTTGAATAATTTGAAGCAAATGTTTCGCTAAACGGAGGTTGAAACACGTGTTTTTGTTTTATTCATGACTATATCGGGTTTAAACGGATAAGGAAATGGTGATGGAGTGTTCCCCTAGAGATATTTTTAAACTTTTCAGTCAAAACATTGACTCAGACTATCCAGCCTTATATAGATAGATCTTATTTCAAAAAAATATTTTATATCAACTGCTTCAAATGAAAAGAAAATATTTTTAGGGTAGAATGGTATTTGGGAAAAACGTTTTTACTTTCTACTCATCAGTTATTATATAAAAAACAAAAAAATGTATTCAAAATGTTTCATTTAACTTTTTTTTTCTGTGCAGCTAGGAAATATCAACAATTCTTGGAAAATGTGTGTGTGTGAATCTAAAGTCCGGGTTGAACCACGTCTACTATTTTTAGATGCTCGACGTTTCGATTTTGGAGACATTTTCAGTAACCTCACCTCACGGATATGCGAGGCCTTTTAAAGCGGGAAGGGTAGTCGATAGCGTAGTCTACCGCGGCCCTGTCTAAAAGATTTTCATGAGTTTAGGCAGATTTAGATCTTGTCTCCTGAGGCGTATAAAAAAATACAAAAAAATAAAAAAACGTCAAGACGTTTCAATTGTTGGTATCCACAATAGTTTTCGTAGATTTCAAATCTGTTGACCTGTAACATATGGAATCTCAGTTCACTAGGCTATGTATTTATTCCACAGTTTCAGTCACCAGCTGATAATGCTAACTTGGTTAGCGAAACGCGCGTCAAAAGACGGTGCTTTCGTTGTTCATTAAGATTCTCAACTCATATACATTTTTTGTCAACAAGATTTTTTAGGGACATCTCTGAGATATGCAAGTGATATTCTTGTGTTGTTAGGAAATATTCTATCTCGAGTATGGCTTACCCTGGATTCACTAGCATAACAAAAAAAAACGAACCGAAACCGTGAACGATAACGGAAAAGTATATGGACGCTGCTGACGCACGCCGTCTTAACGCTGTCCCATTCCCCGACGGACTGGATCATCTCTGTTCTATTCTATTTATTTTCCTTTGCGCGGCAGCTACATAAATTCACGTGGAATGGATGTGATATACGGGGCGATGCCATAGTGACACTTCTCGTCATCATTTCTTGCAAATGGGACGTTAAATGCGAGACGAAGAAAAAAAGGACTGTAGAGAATGCTCGCACGCGTTTTTGGCTTCGAACAAAAAAAAGTGGGTATTGAATTCGTTCTTTTGTTGGCGATTCGGGACGGTTTCTTTGAAGATAATGCGCCAACGGAAGTGACGTTTCTGGCGAAGTGTCTAAGATGAATTTCCTCCGAGGACATATCAAAAAGTATTCGGAGGCATGTGATTTTTTTTTTTAAAACGCGACCAGTGGTAAAGTCCGGGATCGAATTTTCGAACGTTCATAACAAGAGGTTAAGTGGAAGAGCAATTGAATGATGACTTGTCATCATGTAAATTGAACTTCGCCTTTTATCTTCATATAATAAATGAACTGTACATGATTAATTTGCTTTAAATGTATTAGAAGATAATAAAGACGATATCATCATTATTATTATTGTTAATAATATTATTAATAAAAGAGATGCCCATGCAAGCACTCTTCCCGAAAACCAGAACTGCGATAACTTTCCCAGCGCAATAACTTTCCCGGCGCACGTTTCACCAACCAAGTTGGCGTCTTCCGCTGTTCATAGTTCTCTTGCCATACTTGGATATTTCCAGACTTTCGAAAGTATCGGAAAATCTAGACAGATAATTTTCATTTATTCTATGGCCGTTCTCTAAGGCGTATTGATTTTTCTGGTCCCCGAAATAGTATATGTGCTGTGTTTTTTCTGAAACGAGTTTTAATAGCTGGCTTTGTCAGACCGATATATTTTTTGTCATAGTCCTCACAGTGTATTTCATATAATCTCTGACAATATATTTTCCAACATCTTCTCTTCTCAACATCTGTTACAGTGGGCAAGAAGTTTGGAAGACTATTTTCACATTCAACCTTTTAAAAATAAGATCTAATCTGTAACTATATCTTGGTTCATCAGGAAGGACAATTGACTTTGAATTAAGGTCTTTTTAAAAAGTCGAAGATTCACGAAGTTTCTCCCGGAATTTACGATTCCCAAAACTTACCTGCCATATTTGAAGAATACCCGTTGCTTTCAGCTATGTCCCTGATGAAATTAGTGAAACTAAAAATGTACCCATGCCTAGTCATTCACAGATCACAACAAACGATGGTGTGATCTGCAGACCCCTCTTTCCCAATGGGCACTATGGGCAAGTGCCCAGGGCCCCGCGATCGATACTGGCCCCCCTCAGATCAAATACAAAATCCCTAGTTCCTATCAGTACACCAAACGATAACCAATATTTATTACCAAAAAACGTATATAATTCGAAGAAATCGAACCTAAATTACTGACTACAATATCAACTTACTAGCTTTTACATGCGCGAAGTTATTCTACTCCCGCCCAAAAATTAGGCTTTCCGACTTCAGCATGCTTAGATAAATTTGAATATATAATGGTATACTAAGCACATATACATTTTGAAGAAAAATCATCAGTAGTACACTCATCAGTGTAAATCGCTCCATTTAAATTGAGCGAACGAAGCGAAGTATGAAGCTCCAAGTTTGAATTAACTAATTAATTTAATTGAGAAATTACATAGAAAATTGAAACCAAACTCTCCAAACCAACTCTCCAACCTAAATGACTAAAATCTACGAGGCCTCCACTCTCGTCCAACAGCCCTTCCAATCGTCCACTACAATCACGCTACCTGCAACAAAATGGGGACCCAGCCGGCCCACTAGAGACTCCTGTTACCGACCGCGATTTCTCTTATTCACTGTTACAAAATACAATACAGTATATGAATATGTTTTTATCTTTAGTGCAATCTCTAATCTCTAATGCAACTATATTTAATTCGTACTCAATTGTATTTGTTTTATAAATTAAATTCAATAAAACAGTTGTTAAAAGTGATTTTTCCACACCGCTAAGTCACTTTTGTGGACTATATTACATTTATCGATTCGTGATTGTTAATAAAAATAAATATTCAATCTTGTTTATCTACTTCTTTGTCTATTCTAACAAAATAGTGTTTTGACAAAGTCATAGGGGCCCCTTTATCCTATTATGCCCAGGGCCTCGAATAGGATAAAGACGGCCCTGGTGATCTGTGCAGTCATTGATTGCGTCTTGCAGTTAAAACCACTTTGCCAGTGAATGTAATAAACGGTAATTGCTGAATCCAACTACTGGATAAAATTAACTTTTTTCACTGGATGTTCGTCAACTGATAATTACGTTTACAATAAAACTTGAAAACTTGTTGGGAAAGAAAAATACTGATCAATAAAAAGAGTTTACGCTAATAGTGCTAATCGTACATTTTATTACACTAATGCATATACTGTTTTTTTTTCATGATTACTTAGTTTGAAGGATAGAAATTCTGAAATAATTTACTGTTCAATGTATTCGCAATTGGCAACACTGGTGACACTTGAAGCTGTGTTTTTACATTGTTTACATCTGTCAAATATTTATGTTTACATATTTATACTTTTGCTACACCGGACTCAAAAATTTCTTACATTAACAAAATGACCAATAATCATTTAAATAATTCCAATTCCTCCAATATGGATGAAGATCCCGATCCTGAAAACGTAATAACATCCAGGGAATTCTTATACAAATTGATTATAAGGTAAGTAAGTAAACATAACCAAAACATTTATATCCTGAAAATTAAATGAATTTTTTTCTTCCAGCCAGCTATTCTACGACGGACACCAAAGTATAGGCACGACTCTACAACAGGCAGTTATGGCGGAACCTAATAACGCCCCCAGTGATCGATTATTCCACCTAGTACTAACTGGTCTGGAACACGAACCCAGCGTTAAGGATAGGCCCCGAAATACTCCGGTGGGAAATAACCACATCGGACCGGGACTTGGTAAATAAAACTGTATAATCTAAGTCATTCAATAACTTGGAACTTTTTTGACAGATTTGGAGTTCGAAACAGAATCAAATGTACCCGCTCCAGAACCAGCTCTGTATGAAACTGCTTATGTAACCTCTCATAAGGGAAATTGCCGAGCGGGCTGTTTTTCGGCGGATGGACAACTAATTGCCACTGGGAGTGTGGACGCCAGTATTAAAATTCTCGATGTAGATAGGATGTTGGCAAAATCGGCACCAGACGAGATGGATCCTTCTAGAGGGGAACAGCAGGGGCATCCTGTTATCAGGACTCTGTATGATCACATGGAGGAAGTCACGTGTTTAGAGTTTCACCCGAAAGAGACTGTTTTGTGTTCAGGAAGTAAGGATAATACCATAAAATTGTTTGATATTTCCAAGGCAAGCGTTAAGAAGGCTTTCAAGACAATAACTGTGAGTATTTTCGTGTTTTATAATAACATTTGGTATTTTTATAAAAAAGGTCATAAATATTTGTTTTTCCAAGGGAAATCATAGTAACCTCAACTGTACAATACACACTTTGGAGTTCTAAAAAATTTAATAATTCAGTACATCAAAACCGACTGTATTGTTATGCTTCTCAGTTTATTTGATATCCAATGAGCAATTTTGAAAGTCAATAAATTAGGAAGGTTATTAATAGATAGAATTCTAATCTCTGGTGTATAATCAATTTATTGAAAACACCTTTTCCACATCAAAACAAAAATATTGTCTCTCGTCGTGTGTTTCTCTAACCAATAGCTGTTTTCAGTCTTCTCATTAATCAGTAATGAACAAACTGGAACTCAACATCTGGATAATTGCTTTAATTTCAATAGCCCAAAAGTTTCTCAGCACCTAAGTGCTTAAAAGTAATATTCCATAAAATCATCCTACAACCACATTTCGAATATTCAGATACATAAAGCTAGTCAGGTTCATCAACGTGAAAACTATCATTTTCAATGATTTGTAACATTTCATCAACACCAGAAATAATGTATAATCAGCAAAACATGTAAATTCTCAGATATATTCAGGTGTGATAGGTCATTAATGTAAAACAAAAAAATTGTTGGTCCAAGTCACTGTGAACATTCGTTCACAATCTTCAGCATAATTTATTTGGACAAGTGGAAACTCATTACAATATCTGACAAGAACAATACAGGGTCTTCTGATATGTTTTCCATTAGTTCAGTTGCAATTTCGCATATGTTAAGTGCATTTTACATTTGTCGTTAGAAAATCTTGACGGAATTACCTGATAATTCATAACATCAAGTTGGGTACATGGGTAGTCAATGATAGTGGCTGTATATTGAGAAATACAGGTAATTTTATCAATATGCATGTGGAGATCAAATAACATTATAGGATTTTTCATATGATTAAATTCTTCGTTAACAAAATTAATATTGAAATCTTCGAAGTGGTTGGCAGTTTCTCACAGTATAATTTCTAATTTGTCTAAAAAGATATTGACATCAGTTGATGAGGTCGTATATATGCAAATTACATACACATTCAATCTTTCACTAACTAAAATCAACTATCCAAATTGATTCTCTTATAAGAAGGAGTACAAAACAAATTATGAGATATTGAGGGAAACTTGAGACAAAATGAACTATTTCATGCTCACATTTTCTCTGCGAGAGCTCATTAACGAATCATATGAATGTTGTGTTTTTTGTAATAGGGTTCATTCTATTGTTAAATATATTTCTGTGCTAGGAAGCAGAACCGATCCGAGCAATATCTTTCCATCCAGGAGGAGACCATCTGATCGTCGCCACAGATCACCCTGTCATCCGCCTCTATGACATGAATACCCTACAATGTTTCGTGTGTCCGTTCCCCAAACAGCAACACACTCAGACAGTGACTTATCTGAAGTGGTCTCGAGATGCGAAGATGTTCGCAACATGTAGCAAAGACGGCAATGTCAAACTTTGGGACGGGGTGTCCAACAGGTGCGTGAACACATTAATAAAGGCCCATGACGGGTTGGAAGTGTGTTCCGTGCAGTTTTCGAAGAATGGCAAGTACCTGCTCACTGCCGGAAAGAATTCTATATGTAAGCTGTGGGAGCTGTCGACTAGTCGGTGTTTGATTGCTTATACAGGTGAGATTTATAATAATATTATTAATAATATTTATCAACATCATTACAACTTTCTAAAATAGAGTAATGGATACATTAAGTTAATTTAAAAAATACGAGACGAAGATTTAGATTGTTTCATTTCCATCAGATGAAAAATATATTTATATGGAAAATAGTCACACTACAAAAAAGCACAATCAATTTCCTTACTAAATCTAAATAGTATCAACTTTGTTAGTCTATATAGTCTTTGTTAGTATATATATATGTTAGTCTAAAATTTTACTTGACTAAAAACACACATACTAAGCTCTGATATTACTGTTGCTGACAATTTGAGTATCTTGCACCTTTTAAAAAGAGAGTCCTAAACAAAGTTTCCTTTGGTACACAGGTGTATGCAGCAATTCACCCTTTTTTGTGCTATAGAAACTGCATTAGCTAGCTTAGAGTTACGCCAAATCGTTATCCCGTACCTCAATCTGTTTTCAAAAAAGTACTTGATAAACCATAACTAATTGATTTGTATTCAAGGCATGCTTTAAATTTCAAAAAAGATACAATACAGAATGTGGACTAATGACAACAGTGTATCTACCAGTTCAGGAGTAATCTATAATCCTGAAAATTTCACGGAACTGGAACTGCAAATTTTTCATTTTTGAAGAGTCATATTTCTTCTGCCTTGAATGAAATCATATCATTCGAGTTTTTCAGCACTAAGATACAAATTGTTGACACTGAAATACTCCTTAATTTTTTCTTTCTTGGTTGACAACGGCATTGACTTCCTGATGTTATTTAATAAACTACATTGTTCCATATGTTTCAATCTCACTGCTCCTATTTACTGAAAATGTAACGGTGAAATGTAGGCAACGTATTTATCATCACTGCCATTACTATCAATGTCATTAACATACAATATAAATAGTACATGAACCAAAATTGATTCTTGGGGATCTCTCATGGTCACGTTGGCTAACATGAAACACATTCACACACTAGCCGAATACTTCATATGGACATATTGAGTTCAGTTAAGAAAGATTGTACCCCCATATTTGCGTTGCCATGAGTTCTATAGCCGTCCAGTTTGTCCAAAAGTAAATTATGGCCAACACAGTCGAATTTCCTGCACAGGTAACATAAAACTGTTGTGGGACACTCAACCAGTCTCAACAATTTTTTCATTTCAATTCACAAAGTTGACTCTGCAACTTGAAAACCATGCTTTGACTTACTGAGAATACAACAAACCTAATATAGAGGTTTACTCTCTGGTTAAGCTGTTGAATAAAATTTTCAAAAATTAAAAGTAAAATGATGACATAAAGATCACCAAGATTCCATTTTATATATCACTGTACAAGTTTAGCCACAAAAGTGGCTACATTCCTAATCGGTTTTGAATATAATAAAATAGTAACAAATTTGGTGTTGCCATATCTGTAACTTTATGTGATCTAAATGACAGCATTTGGCAGGTATTACCTAAAACTCAAAAATTATATAGCTCAATTCCTGTATTATTTTTATTGCCTGTAGGAACAAGGTTTGATTTATTTCTCGTGAGATTACAATGTAGTTTCTATGTCTGAAGAGTTTGTGTCAGATTCAGTAAATGTCACTCACATTCAAATAAATACTAGGAAAATTATTTTGAACAATTGTTGATTTTGTTGAATTATAAAAAAAAATGTATATATGATTTTCATGAAATTACTGAGGAAGTGGGGAAAATCCGAAAAATGTTTCGCAAGTTTACAAACTTGACCCCTCTTATTTTTTCATACAAATTATTTTATAAAGTTCAGAAACTATTAAGAAAAAGAAGAAAGGGTAAACACAATTCAAATAACCATTTATTGAGAAAAGAAATCAGTACAGCCGCTGTTAATGACATTTGGTTTTCGAAACAGTCTTATAAGGATTACAAGAACAAGTTAAACAAACTTACAAAATAAATACAGTACAAAAAATCATGTACAAAAATAAGGAATGAACTCTTTTCTAGAACATATTAAAACACATGCTCTCGAAAAAAAACTGCTCTAATCAACTTCTTCCATTCGAGAAGCATCCTCAGAATCACCAGCATCAGCGCTGGGAGCATCTCCAGCAGGAGTTTCTTCGGTGAGCATTGACTCTTCCTCATCAATTCCCAAACCGAGCTTGATCATTCTGTAGATTCTAGAAGCATGAACTTGGGGCTCATCCAGGGTAAATCCGGAACTTAGCAGAGCAGTCTCAAATAGAAGGATAACCAAATCCTTCACGGCCTTGTCATTCTTGTCAACCTCAGTCTTCTGGCGTAAGTTTTCAATGATGGAATGATCGGGGTTGATCTCCAAATGCTTCTTGGCTGCCATGTATCCCATAGTGGAGGTGTCACGCAGGGCTTGAGCTTTCATGATACGCTCCATGTTGGCAGTCCAGCCGTACTGTGAAGTCACAATGCAGCATGGAGACTCAACCAGACGGTTAGAGACGACTACCTTCTCCACTTTACTGTCTAGGATGCTCTTCATCACTTTGCACAGGCTCTCGAACTTAGTCTTGTCCTCTTCGTGCTTCTTTTTCTCATCCTCATCTTCAGGCAGCTCCAGGCCTTCTTTGGTTACAGAAACCAGAGTCTTGCCATCGTACTCCTTCAGCTGCTGCACAACGTATTCATCAATAGGCTCAGTCATGTAGACAACCTCAAATCCACGCTTCTTGACACGCTCAACAAAAGCTGAGTGAGCCACTTGGTCTTTGCTCTCGCCAGTGATAATGTAGATGTGTTTCTGGCCCTCCTTCATGCGGCTGACGTAGTCCTTGAGTGAGCAAGCCTCGTCCCCGCTTGCAGAAGTATGGAAACGCAGCAGATCAGCAAGCTTTGCCTTGTTCTGAGAGTCCTCATGGATTCCCAGCTTGAGGTTCTTCGAGAACTGCTCGTAGAACTTCTTGTAGCCGTCCTTGTCTTCGGAGAGCTCCTCAAACAGTTCCAAGCATTTCTTGACGAGATTCTTGCGGATCACCTTCAGGATCTTGTTCTGCTGCAGCATCTCTCTGGATATGTTCAGGGGCAAGTCTTCAGAGTCGACTACACCCTTGATGAAGTTCAAGTACTCGGGGATCAAGTCCTCGCAGTTGTCCATGATGAAGACACGACGCACATAGAGTTTGATGTTGTTCTTCCTCTTCTTGTTCTCAAACAGATCGAATGGCACACGTCTGGGCACGAAAAGCAGTGCACGGAACTCCAACTGACCTTCAACGCTGAAGTGCTTGACAGCTAAGTGGTCTTCCCAGTCATTGGTGAGAGATTTGTAGAACTCTCCGTACTCCTCCTGGCTGATATCGTCAGCGTTACGAGTCCAGATGGGTTTGGTCTTGTTCAACTCCTCATCTTCAGTATATTTCTCTTTTATGGTCTTCTTTTTCTTCTTTGGTTCTTCTTTCTTGTCCTCATCCTCGTCCTCTCCAACATCTTCGATCTTGGGCTTATCCTTGTCTTCCTCCTCGCCCTCCTTCTTCTCGTCTTCAGCTTCATCATCGCTGAGCTCTTTCTCACGTTCTTTCTCAACGAGAAGCTTGATAGGATAGCCGATGAACTGTGAATGCTTCTTCACGATCTCCTTGATCTTGTTCTCCTCCAAAAATTCAGTCTGGTCCTCCTTGATCTGCAGAACAATTTTTGTACCACGCCCTAGGGGTTCCCCATGATCCTGCCTGATAGTGAAGCTTCCACCAGCCGAGGATTCCCAGATATACTGTTCATCGTCATTGTTTTTGGACACCACCGTGACTTTATCAGCGACCAAATAAGCAGAGTAGAAACCCACACCAAACTGACCAATCATGCTGATGTCTGCTCCTGCTTGCAGGGCTTCCATGAAGGCTTTCGTTCCAGACTTGGCGATCGTACCCAAGTTGTTTACAAGGTCAGCTTTGGTCATGCCAATACCTGTGTCAATGAGCGTGAGGGTTCCTTCTGCTTTGTTGGGGACGATTTTGATGTGGAGATCTTTGCCGCTGTCCAGACATGAGGGGTTCGTCAGCGACTGGTAGCGGATTTTATCCAATGCATCTGATGAGTTGGAAATCAATTCACGGAGGAAGATTTCTTTATTCGAGTAGAAGGTATTGATAATCAAACTCATCAACTGTGCAATTTCTGCCTGGAAGGCGAAGGTTTCGACTTCTCCATTTTGGGTGTCTTCAGGCATCTGCAACAAAGATAAACTATGAGTCATGGTGAAAGAGAAAAGTGTTATTGTAACAAATTCTTGGCGGTTACAATAACAAAAAACAACAGAAAACGATGAATAAACCGGCCAGTAGCGAAACATTCTGAATTTATATTTATGGAAACTTGGATGGACAGCTCTCGTGATTCATATATGCATTACAACATTTCACCTTAAAATTGTAACATTATATCTAGTGACTAGAGTGAAATGAGGACTGCGAGACTGTGGTATCATTATATTTTTCTCTTACCTTTTCTCTCAACTAATAGGTACTTTTTTTATGAGCCAAACTGATATTTTTATTGAATACCCATTAGAATCAAAGAATAAGAATAGAATAAGAAGTATTCTACTATGAAACTATGAAGTAGTGAAATTTGGCTTTTTTCAAGTGTATTCCAAATACTGTAATTCATGTTGGGCGACAACTAGTTAAAAGCAACCAGAAGGCATCAAATTAAATTCAATGTTTTTTGCTTCAACATAAAACTGTAAGAAGTTTGGAAAGTGATCTTTTTCATTTAAGTTCATTTTCCTACTAATGTCTCCTAGATATAAAATTATTTCAATTGATTGTTTAACGACTGAAGATTATTTCAAAATATTTCTATTGCACAGATAGTTGCATAAAATTTGCCATTTAATCCTTGAAAAATCAATGAGTAACTAAAAATAACCCCAAAAATGTAATAATCGTTTCTACAAATTCTCAACTAGCTCCGTAACGGAAAAATAGTTATTATATTCCCTACATGAAATATCAAATGTGAATGCAGAAACTGACTAGCCAACTGACTCTGCAAAAAATTGAATAACCGGTAACCGGCAAACACATTGGAAAATTTTTCAAAATTTCACTACAAATATAATAATTCACACAAAAACCTAATAATACAAAAGAAAAAATACATACCTTGACTACTTCTTCAAAAAATTAGCACTGATATATGAAAACTTTCTGAAAAATCGCCTCTAAAATTGCTTTGGATATTTCACTGAAGCTCGCTATGGCACTCTTAACGACTGATTCAATTCTGACGCGGATACGTTTGACGTCCGCTTATATAGCCGGTTGCGTTCTGTACGTTTCGAGAACAATCTGGAAGGCTATGGAAGCTTTTTGGTGCTTGAAATCGCTCGATAAATTGAGAGGTGTATATCTTTTTTCTCGGTTTATTTCCGCTTAAAGGGGCGCCAAATTTAAAAAAACTGTTTCTAGAACATGGATTTTCTGAAAAATGTATAGGTGATGTAGGTATTTGAATTTGTGTACATATTTGTGCTTTTCATCAGAATTGATAAGAGTTTGTGGTTTGAAATGTTACCTTCTTCTGATAAAAGTTAACAAATATCGATTTTAATAAGGGGAAAATTGTAAAATAACTTTAATCATGCTATAAAATCCCTATATAGTAATACAAACTGATCTAACAGTATGAAACGAAACAATGTTCTTTTGAAAGCAAGCATAACATTATTTTCACATTCTTAATGAATCTAATTCACAAAGTGAAATACGAAAATATTTCCGTATGAGTTATTTTTTATTGTTCTAGTAATAAAATCCTCTTTGGAAGACGAGTTGCAATTCATTTTCACATATTTAGTCATTCCAATTCAGAAATTAAAATACAAATATATTGTTTCAGTATTTTTTTTTTCGAAAAACATTCAACTTATTTTTGTGATAGGTAGATATATTACAACTCGTAAAAATTTTCATCTAGGAATACCTAGCTCTGCAAATGAAAAATTGATTAATTTGGTTTCTGAGAATTTGTTAAAACACTGCAAGTTTATGAATATTCCCAAAAAAATGGCTTTCTTTTTGATACAATATTCGAATCATTGTATTAGGTAGGTACCTATTACATTTATAAATCTCAAGTTCATCAAATATGGATCAATCGGAAGCATTCTGCATTTTTTATACCTAGAAATATTCAGATATTTTATACATAAAAACAAAACTATCAGTTCAAGAATTCTTTGTAGTTTCACATTCATTTTTCAAGCAATTATATCCTTCCTGTCCTTTGCTCAACATTCCAGCAAATTCTGGAATTCTGTGAAATCCTAAAATCGTTGTTACTAAAATCATTTCTAGAAGTTCTCGAACACTTGACTCATATTATGAATGGAATCTGGAAACTTCTAAAGAAGCGGGAAATGGCGGTAGATGGTGAAGATCAAAAGTGATTTTTGTGTTCGTTGTCATACCAGCTGAGTTATGGTGATATATTGATATAAAAGTTAAAACATTACTATAATAATTGTTGAAATTTGAATTAAACTGAGAATTAATTGTTTTCAATAATCGTCTTTCAAAAGTATCGCCATCTATTCTACAGTTTGAGAATTGAAATGAATAAATGAAACATTTCAATCGATTTGAATTTATAGATTTTGAGTTATTTTCCGCGCTAACCTAACCTCAATTATTTTATATTTTTTGAATTGTCAATATAACAAGTCACAAATAATAAATTATCAATCTCATTATTAAATAACCTAAAAACTGATTTAATAATATTTGTTTTAGGTTGGCTAGCGTCATTTTACATTCTAATTTTTAGATTCAATATCTAATATACCTAGAATGTATTATTTTTAATTATGTGCATTTCCAACAGAAAAGAAAGTGAAAAGGAAACCGCCAAAACTGCAGAAGGTAATTTGTTTCCTCCATACATCTAAAAAACAATTTTGATATTTTGATATTTTAGAAGATAATGAGGCCGATTTCAGGATATACAGTATCCTTTCTTACTTCATTGTTTTGGTAGTGATAGGCCTACCAGTATGGTGGTACACAACCAGAGTATACAGGGCCAACCTTCCCATAACCCAAATGTACAATGCGGAGCTAAAAATGAAGACCGACCGTGAATTTGGAATACCTTTGAGCTTGGACTACGATATATTGATTTCTTTTGTACACCCCGACCCAGGAGGTTTGGAAATAGAGCTGCACGGTCAGGATATAGAACATAACTTGCAACCTCTCTTGAACACAGTACAGCCAGTTGCTGATTTTGTTGTGAAATCCCAATGGCTGTATCTTACGAAACTAGGCGCAGTACCGACTAAAGTTGGGGATTACTACGTGCTTTCAGAAAACCAGCTTCCTCATATCATAACTCCGTTGGAGACAAAATTATGGTCACATTTGTCTCCTAGGCCATCACTGAATTTGATTGTGTACTTTCCTCATTGTAATGCACCTTTGTATATCCATGACAGTAGGAATAGGAAGGTTGAAAGCAACTCTTTCTTGAGTGCTAGATGGGGCGGGGTGTACATTATGAACCCTGATAAATCTGCATGCGAGAAAAAGCAATTTCAGCCTGACTTGCAGCTGATAGTTTCAACTTTCATGGCCCAGCTGAAAAGTTTGTTCAAAATCGACAATAGCTCCAACGCAGATGACATTTACGAATTGAAAATGCGGAAGGCTCGTGAGCTTCTAGATTCAACTCGAAGGACACTCAGGTCTCTTGCTCAGTTACTATCAGAAATCAGCAGTATCGTCATAAGCGATGAGGTTGGGAGCAAAATCAATGTCGCTGTGGAAAATGCTGATTTGGCTGATGATTTTTTGAAGAGAGGGGACGTGGATGAGGGTCTCCAATATGCCAAGTTGGCCTTTTCCAATGCAGAGGCAGCTTTCGGCCATCCTTCTCTGCTGGCATTGCTTTACTTCCCAGAAGATCAAAAGTAAGTATAGTTTTTTTTTGTAAAAAGTGTAATGACCATGTTATTGTTTCAGGTATGCTGTGTATATTCCTCTGTTTTTACCAATCATGATTCCAGTATTCATGTCCTTACCTCTTGTAAGAAAGTGGAGAAAAATGAAAAAAACAAAGTTGGAGTAGCAGGTTATTGATTTGAATAAAGACATGAATGAATAAATTGAATAAATCCTCTTTTCCTTTTTTGCTGATTAATTTGTTTTTGAATTGAAATCTATGAGTAACTTCTGGAAAACAGAAATGATCTTTATTTCTCACAATTGAGAAAATTTATTTTATTATACATTATTCTGTACATCGTGAGTTTTCATTCTAAAATGAAAAAACTTTTTAAAATTGAAGTATGAATTACAAATTATTCAATTTTCAGAAATGTAAATGTGTAAAATATATTTCAAAACAAAATAATATATAAATTTTTAGACGAAAATATATTCTTTTTGGATGTTTTCAAAACCACCTATGTCCATGTTTTCAAGCCCTTGAAGAAATTAATAAAATGTCAGTTCAAGTAAAATGTATATTGTATTGAGTATTGTAGGTACATCAGTAGTTTTGAAAAAATAATAAGGGAATAGTGTATTTTCACAAACTACACCTAAACGATTTGATCTCCACAAACTTAGTGTAGATTGAAAATGTCATTGCTATTGAAGGAGGTCAACTTGATGAATGTTTTTGCCAATTATTTCTCAACATATAAAAGAACACATTAATGTGATACTTCCATTTGAAAGTTTACAAAATCTCGTCGCATGTTTTGCTTTATCATAGCTATATAATAACTCATCAATGAACCTTTTTTTCAATAATATCAAAAGTTCCAATAGTTATCCATTCCTAATGTTTGCTGAAGATCTAAAGCAGTTTAGACACAAAGCCCACTAACAAGTTAAGTCATTCAAGCAGAACTTGTTTGATTACACATCTTTGGAGACAGACATTCACATAAGACTTCACAAATGTGAACCACAAATCAGATTTGTGGATCATATTAATAAAATTAATTTTATGTCTTCAAAAATGGCTCATTCAAGCACTAATTATGTTTTATTCAAATTCCGAAAGAAAATTTGAAAATAACACTGAAATAAATTTATTTTAGACCCCGAAATGCCTCCTCGCTCGTCAAGTGAAATATGGTCTATTGTTCAGGATACTCCAAGCATTAAAAAGGGTTTCATTTTTCTCAAGTGGTTTCACATCGATAAGAATATACCTACCTACCTATGTATCGACCATTTGGTCCCCGCGGTGTTAATCCAATATGACATTCATAAGTCAATAGGTATGGATGTTTCAAACGTGGCGTGGTTTGTTCAACATTTTTCTAGATTGGTTTTGAAATATTTTTTTAATTTTGTGATCACTTTTAATATCATGCTTATGGAAAACCGGGACAAGGACCATACAGGGTGCATCAATAAAAATGGATAATGTACCAGAAATATAAATGTTTTTTTAGTCACAGAATAATTGTTTTAGAAAGTGTTACCGTTGTTTGAAGAGAAATAAGCTTCAAACAATACTATTATTATTTAGAATAGAGTTATAAACAATGAATTATTAGCACCATCTAGTGGATGGAAGACATATTAATACTTTTGAAAATTTAGACAATAGATGCCAATCTCAATAATTTTGATTGTCAAACTGTCAAAAATTTTATATACTCTTACTCTAATATCTGACAAATGCATTTTAGGTAAAAAAAAATGGATTTTCGCATTATTTAACCAATAAAGTTACGAATAATACACAATAGTTTTGCCCTATTCCGTCACCCTGGTAGTAACTAGTACCCTGCAAGATGTATCATGGGGTAAGCCTTTTTGCGCCACCTAATCTTCGTTAACATAACCACAACATCTACTTATATATTTTCCAGAATTGTGTTTTCCTTGTCCAAATAATTTTTTTAACATGCTTGTCGCCAAGTTACCAATTCTACGTGCCAGGAATGGCTCCAACAGATTTCAAAAAAGGAGACCCGATAGAAGTAAAAGCTGTGAAGATGACTAGTATCAACACCCTTTTGCCCTACGAATATTACTCCTTGCCCTTTTGCCTGCCGAAAGGGGGATCTGACGCAATCCATTATAAATCGGAGAATTTAGGAGAAGTGTTAAGGGGTGATAGAATCGTGAACACTCCTTACATTGTGAAAATGGCCGAACAAAGTCCCTGCGCTCTGTTGTGTAATTCACCCGACAAGCCCATACATTGGGGTGTTAGCGAGTCCCAAAATGTTGTAGACAGGATACAGCACGAGTACTTTGTTCATTTGTGAGTATGTTAATTACATTAGGTCTTGTTCATAAAATGATGAAAATTTCAATAATAAAACATATCAGTCCTGGAAAGACATCTTCACTAGAAGTACTCCACAATCTAAAAAGTGAAGCTAAATCAATAGAGAGTCTGCTAAAGTATACTAATATATTCCTTTGACGTTTGTCAATGGAAATATACCGTACGAGGTATTTATTTACAAGTTAATTTTTTTGGTTTTGAGAACGGTAAGGGATTACATTTTGAAACGTTAATCATCTAAGGAAAGTAAATTAACCATATAAATTCAATTTTTTCAATAGGTTATTCAATAAGCTACCAAAATTTATGAAAACGACAAGTTAGTGACCAATTGGACTCTTCAGGTATATATTACGTAGTAACTTTTCAAGGTCAACTATTCGGTTTGAACTTCATTTCACTTCGGCAGATTCTCTATTGATTTAGTTTTGTTCATTTTTTAGACTTCCATGAAACAACATGACATGTGATACTACAAAATCCATCTTCTATCTTTCAACTCAATTTTAATATTAGCATACACTTTGGGATATCATTGTATTGTGATTTTTATTGGTTTGTGATTTTTATCAGTTCATTTCATTGGTTGTCCATTTTATTATTATTTTGCAACATCTTATATTCCTTTCTTGTGTATTTTTTTTTCTATCTGAAACTTTGACATGGAGAAAATGTTCTTGTGATGATAAAGAATACTCTGATTATGAAGGTGAAAATTCATAAGGAAATATACCAAATAACTAGATATAGAACTAATGTTAGGATAGGTTTCCGCGTTCAGCAATTTGGTGTAGCGTTGTCAGGATTGAAATGCATCCATAGTTTTCTTCTGTTCGAGGTTTCAGCATCACAGGAGACTTGATTATCCAGTTACATATCCTCTCAAAATAAAATGATTCCAAAAATTCAAGAAATAGTTACATTTGTCAAAATATTTGTTCACACACACCCACACGCAAACACATCGTAGACAATAGTATTTCTATAGGGCAATAGGTACAAGGCTCCAAAATTGCTTCTACAAAATTTTAGAATTTCAAAGTTATTTGTTGAAGATATTAAGTGAATATTCATAATTTTTAAGTTTTAATTTTTGTACTTTACATCAAATAACACATCTAATTAATGAAAAATTACAAATAAAACAACTCAACTTATCATTATTATAAGTACTAGTGGTTTGTAGGATTCCTTTAATTTTGAGGAGTTCCTTTCAGGTTAGTAGACAATCTGCCTGCAGCAACACAAACCATCAACTCAGACTCCAGTGAAATCCAATTTGAGCATGGTTACCGATTAGGAAATACAGTCGGTGACAGAAGTTTCATAAACAATCACTTGAAACTAACGTTGCTTTATCACACTCCAGAACCGTAAGTTTTTGTTCAAAATTCGTGTCCCTGTCACCAGCGAGTTCAATTCCAGAAACATATATCGGGTGGTAGGTTTCCGAGCAACTGCAAAATCTGTCCACATGGATGAATTGAAATTTGATGGAAAAACATGCTCATTTCCATCCAAACCCAGACCACAGGTGGTTGATCCCGTTTCAGGCACCAAATTATTCTTTACCTATGAAGTGGAATGGGAAGAGTCTTCGGTCAGTTGGGCATCAAGATGGGACACCTATTTAGCCATGAGCGATGCTCAGATACATTGGTTTTCAATTATAAACTCCATTGTGGTGATTTTTTTCTTAGCAGGTATGTATTAATGTTGTTCATCTGTTTTCAAATAAAAAAAAAAGATTATATGTTGCTAAATCTAGTTTTTTTTTCAAGGTATTTTAACTATGATAATGGTGAGGACTTTGAGACGGGACATAGCTAAATATAACGCAGATGAAAGTTATGACGAAGCTATTGAAGAAACTGGGTGGAAACTAGTGCATGGAGATGTTTTTAGACCACCAAAAAACTCTAGGTTATTTGCTGCTCTGATAGGATCTGGAATTCAGATTTTCCTGATGTCATTGATAACTATTTGTAAGTTTTGTCAGATGGGTTGGACTTTTTTTCTGTAAATAGTTTGATAGAAATGAAATTCTGACAATAGAAGCTGAAACTTATTATGCATTAAATTCAACTATTTTCCTTGAACGTATAGGAAAGTTTTAAAAAATACCTGAATGAAACACTTCACCAGTTTTATCAACAGATTATAAATTCAACTATTTTCCTTGAACTTATAGGAAAGTTTTGAAAAATACCTGAATGAAACACTTCACCAGTTTTATCAACAGATTATAATTTATATAATTTTTCTTTAATGCGGCATACTGTTTTTCCTCAATAAATGCTAGAGTACTTGTTGGTACAATGAATTGAAATTTCTTTCTTTCGTTAGTTTTCGCTATGTTGGGTATGCTGTCTCCAGCATCTAGAGGAGCTCTCACAACTGCAGCTATCACCTTTTATATGATTCATGGGGCAGTAGCAGGGTATTTGTCGGCCCGTCTCTATAAAACTATGAAAGGTTGGTATTTTGATGATCATTTATTTATTTATTTTTTTGGGGAAAGGTTCTGGCTTTCTACTTCTCCATCTTGATATAGAAAAATGTGGGAATCTTTCAAAGAAAGGAAGGAAGTAATTAATTTTAAAAGAAGTAATTTTATACATAGATGTGTAAATCATGCAAAGTAATTCTCAGACACAAACTGGAAGAGAAAGTCTTTTAATAGTTACACAAGTTGTAAACTTACAATCAGACTAACAATAACATAAATTCAATATCAAATTCAATATTGACATGGCTTATAAGTAAAGTCACAAAATGAGGTTTCTTAAACTATTCTCAAATACATTAAATGACATGCTAAAATATTCTTACTCAGAAAAATTATTAATAGCAGTAACTATTCTATTAAGTAGCATGTTATGAATATGCTGGATGTGAAGAACAGCAGTAGAAAACTCCTAAGAATCATAGATGGAGTATAGAATCTAATGCCACCCAAAATACTGGGGGTTATGCCGTTATTTATCACTTTATAAAAGAAAAAGGTCTCGGGATATTAGTATCTGCAGTCTGGTAAACCAAAGTATTCCCTTAACCTCATCGATTCTGAGCTGCAGATCTCCACCATTCTATACTTAAAGTACTTGATAAATGTCACTTTTATATATTCTAACCGTTTCTTGTGTACCTCAAAGTATAAACTCCAAATTAGATTACAGAATTCCATTTCAGAGTTTACATAACACACAAAAACAAAACTGTAATACCATACAAATCATAAAAATCTGTGGATATTATCACCATCCAACTTATTTAGAATTTCTGTTACTGATTAAAATATGCAATTTTTTTATTGTACCTAATCTGCAAGTACTGTCCTTGTACTTGCAACTATGTAATAAAATATAATATTAAATGATTGAATTTCGGAGCAGAGTAGATTTCTTTCAATGTTTTCTATAATTTGGTAACCAATTCTTCAGAAAAAATGTTACTTTTATTTGTGGTAAAACAGAATAGAAACTTAAAAAAGGATGAATTTTTCTTACTTCTGGATACCCACTTCGAAGATATGCTTCTTTTGATTTTCTTGCTATGATATAAGTTCATAAGTGGTAAAAAGAGTGAGAAAAAAATAATTGAATGTTGAATTCTTTACTAAATTGTCATTACAGACTTATATTCATTTATTTATTTTTGTATAAGGATCACCTATAAAAAGTTTTGTTTTTTGTCACAAATAGAGTCGATTTTGAGAGTAATTTTACTCAACTTTATTCTTAATACATATTCAGCGTTCAGTCGATTCCTGTATTTTGTCTTTATCATGGCCAGTTGTGTAAACCCACTCTCACATAAGTAAGTTGTCATGAAGGTGAACAGTGAGCTTGATTGCCAAGAATTCAATGAAGCGATTCGATATATTCTTGACGAATTGGACTTTTCATGAAATCATAAAAAATCATCTTATCACAAACTTTTTTCAAACACTCACTATCAATTCACTATGATACAGTTTCTAAACTTCCACTGGTTCTAGGGCAATAAAAATCAATTTTGATAATAATGATGATTGATTTATCATTTTTTTAAAGTTTGCATCATTGTTGCAAATTAAGACTCAATGCAACCTACATAAAACGTCGTTTTGACAGCACTTTATTCCAGACTAATTTTTTTTAAGTAGCACCATATTAAATGTTTTTCTTATAAAATTCAGTTTTTGAAATTTTTTGAAAATTTTAACTTTTTTCATTGTATTTTTAAGAACCTTAAAAGCAATGAAAAAGGGTGGCACAGTTCTTTACTCGTGAGGGTTTCAAAAGGGAAACCATTTTTAAAAAAAAGGAACGTCAAAAACAAAAATGTATGATTTGGACAAGTTCTAATTGAGCCTGTTTATATTATGCAGTAGAGTGCGTTTTTCTGTTTGTTTTAAGTGTACTTGTATTATTTAATTTATTTTCAACAAAAAAAAAAAGTTCACTCTCCAACATGAAACAATACTTCTTGTTCTCTTGTACCCCGTACTTTCCCACAAACCTTTCATGTTGATCCAAAAATATGGTACCCTATTTGCTTTCTCCCTCTTTCACGGATACTTTCTTGTATCTTTTTATCCACGTCTTCCTGTATTTTTTTTCCATCTCCTTTTTACAATATCAGCCATTCCCATCATCTCATCTAACGAGTGCCTCGTGATTTCAGTACCCTGATGGCAGGCATTCTACCCTTCGGAGCAGTATTCATCGAGCTCTTCTTCATATTCACCGCCATATGGGAGAATCAGTTCTACTACTTATTCGGCTTTCTCTTTCTGGTATTTGTCATTCTGGTGATATCGTGCTCACAAATCTCCATCGTCATGGTTTACTTCCAATTGTGCGGAGAGGTAAGTTATTGATAGTACTCAAGTTTGGAACCGGTTGATGTGAGATAATTCGATGTTTTTTTAGGACTACCACTGGTGGTGGAGGAGCTTTATAGTGTCAGGGGGCAGCGCCCTCTATATTCTTGGATACTCAGTTTTCTACTTCATGACAAAACTTGAAATTACCGAATTCATCCCAACGTTGTTGTACATCGGCTATACGGGCCTGATGGTGTTCACTTTCTGGTTGTTGACGGGAACCATTGGATTCTTTGCAGCATATGCATTTGTTCGCAAAATCTATGCAGCTGTTAAAATCGACTAGGTTATTTTTGAGTATCTAAGTTAATGTATGGGTGAGATGAAGGACAAAGATTACTTTTGATCATTTTCAGCAACGAATCGACTTGTGTGAGTTTTGTGAATGTTTCTTTTGGAGTTGTTTGGATTCCGGGTGATTGGAATGCACAGGGTGACCTGTGGAGTGAACGAAACTCTCGTTGACTTAATTTATTTATCAGCTTTAGTTTTGCTAGAGTGCACATTTGTTTTTCAAGAGAGCAGACATATATATGGTGTTTCTTTAGTTAATTTTGACCATTGAGAAAATTAGGATCGAAGATTTATTAGAAAGATTGGGAAACTATAAATTTCATTTTTGTGTGTATTAATTATTCTACAACGTTTAAAACGATCGCAAATATTTGTACAAAAATACTTAAAACTCTCTTGAACATTTTTATTCCCCTTTCAACTAAAATACCGTGATTTTGAATACAAATTTAAAAATGTTATTTTTATAGTTGCTTGTTACTGTTTTTTGCCAAACTGATTAAGTGAATCTTTTTGATTTTAATTTATTAAGTGCATGTTTTATTGACTTTAATTCTTTTATAGGTCTATTGAAAATATATAATTCACTATTACCACTGTACATATTTATGAAAGTAAAGTAATAAATTCCTTTGTAATTATTTTTTTACTACCCACTAACTGGTTGATTTTTTGCCGACAGTTTTCAGTTTTCACTGTGCATTAGGAGTCCTATAGACATAAGTTAATCTCATCTCTACACCTTTTTAACACTTTGACTGAGCATTTTTTGAAGTTGCTGTGTGCCTAGGGTGGAACAGTATAGTTTTCAAATGACTTATAATTTGTTGTTAGGAGGACATTACTGTTTATTGAAACTATATATAGGTACACAGTATTTATTCATTTTTTACTTAATGCTCTCATTTGTACTATGCACATCTAGGTAAAATTTTCTATGGTTTCTAGTTTATGAACTGATAATTCAAACCCAGCTGTACTATAACTGTAAGTAAATTCATTGCATGTCGTATGAATCATCATATGCACAGACTCGGACTGTCGGAAGACAGTGTGTGTCGCCTCTGTTTGGAAAATGATGAAACAGCAGAGCATATACTTTGTGCCTGCCCTGCTGTGGACTGAATCAGGTTTTAAGAGTTTGGTAGAACCACACTTCTACCATCTGTCCTGAAAGATCACTCACCATATAAACTAATTGACTTCGTCAAAAATGGGTTTATTTGAACGAATTTGAATAGGTGTGAGCCAAAATAAACCCTTGTGGGTTGCGGTGGAGGGTCGAATAGGCCCACTCACTTTTGACCTAACCTAACCTAAATACATTGCAATTTTTGGGTTAAAATCAAATTGTATTTAAAAAAAAGGGTTTAAAAAACTCGTCATAGTTTTAGGCTATAATTTTAACTGAGAGGAGTTGGTCAATTAGAGAGTTTGAATTCGAGTTATGAAACCTTCGATATCTGCATCTTAGGAGAATATCAGAAAACTTGAGATCAATGCAGGCAATCAATTCAGAAAGGAAAATATTGCTTTAATAATAATGTGTTTATCTTAAACTAGCCTATGATTCACAAGCGTGCCATTCACATCCAAAATAGAAATGGTGTGGCTCCTATGAGTGTAGATAAAGTGTTGTCAACTTTAGTCTGAACATGTAGCTAGCAAATCATGAGAAGGCTAAAACCTCAAAATTTAACAATCTCCTACAAAAGAAAAGTTGATCTTCATAACAATTTGGTAATCTTCCTCGTTTTTCTTTTGCAAAAATAAACGAGATAGAAATATTAACCAATCAGCAGTCACTCCTGCTCACTTTAAGAAGTAGAATCTTCTGTATATAGACAATTGGGGTTGAAACCTATTATTTGTTCAATAAAATATGTATATCAAATTTTTAGGACAAAAAACCTTGACCTGTGCTCGAATACAAAGTTGAATTCATTATCAATGACATACCTGTGTGCCAATGTTTAATAATAATTCATTCATAATCTGATTTAAAGTTCTTCACATATAGGAGAATATGAAAAAAAAATTGAGAACTTTGAAGCTTATAAATTAATAAGCTGGGAAAGAAATCGGACATTTACAGTCTCTGTCTTTTGAATAAAATGAAATATCTGTAGTTGTCTCAGTAAAGCTATTTTGAGACAAAATCACAATAGATAAATGAAATAATCAATATTTGACAGTTTGTGATATTCTGATTTCAACAATAAAGCTGTGAAAACAGAATGGGATTACAAATAAAACTTTAATTTCTTCATAATATAAAATTTAATGTGTCAAAAACATTTTTATAGCGAAATATGTTGAACAAGTGGATCATTCATACAGCGGCCTTTCAGTTGTCAAAATTGAAATATCCAGTGTTTTTCAAATATTGTTATTATTATTATTGATGATCAGGTAGTATAATTTTGAAGTACCACGAGTCGCGTTAGCGTTTGATGAAAGTTGCCTAAACTCAAGATCTTAAGTTCAAATTATTAAAGTCTATTCTCAAATTCGAATATTTTGAAGGAAGAAGAGTTTAGAGAAATTTCTTTCACTGGAAGATTAAAGAAATATATGCGACATCCCTATTAAAGGTAAGTACTTCGTTTCTAATTTGACTGAGACATTCACAGAACTAGTTCTGTGAAGACGACTGATTTTTATTAGAAATCGAATTGAATAGGTAAGCAAATGCACATGAAATGAATTTATTGTACAATTTTCAATAATAACGAATTTATAACAAATTCATATTTACAAATACAGAATTGTAAATTACGTATATTTTTTGTGGAAAGTTGTTGACAATGTTTCACGGTGAATTTTACTAGTTCCGGCTTCCATTGTCTAATATGATATAATACGATTTGAAATCTCTGAAATAACAGATAAAATTTAACATTGAAATGAATGAAAATTATATTGAGCAATAAATACAATAAAATGAAAATGAGCCGAAAATTGACCAATTAAAAATGAAGAAATAAAAATTTCAAACCAAGTTTTACTTCACTGCGTTTCGATTGATAGTATCCATAGTCTTCTTCGAGTGATGACTAGATTTGTCCGAGAGATGACTATTTATAAGTCATTCGAATACTTTCACCTATCCCCTCTTCTCGTTCTCCGTTTCACCGGTTTAGTGAGAGTAAACCGTTTTTTCGATTGAATAAATGTTTCCTTATATTGCCTATATCTATGCTAGCTTGACTGAATGTGTCGTTGGACAACATATATGCAGCTTCTTTGAACTTCCTCTTGAACCAATGTACCTCCCTGTGGATGATCTCAGCTTGGGACCACTTGATGTTTGTTACGTTGATGAGTCCAAACATGCTCCTCCATTTCCGATTTGCTAGTTTCTCCTCGCTGTGCCGTACTCACAGGGTATCTGGTAAATGTAATTCTTGGAATCGCAGTCCGCGTTTGGTGGCCTGGTTTTCATGAGGCTGTTATGATTGGTGTTTTCAGATCTGAAGCAGGTTGTGCCATCACTTTGTTATTTTTAGCTATTCATTTTAATTTTATATGTTCTTTTAGAGATTTCCGAACTACTAAAATTCATCTGTATTTTTATGAGATTTTTCAGAAAATGAAATAATGTTGGTAGTTTTTAGCATATTTTCTTTTTCAAACAATTTTCAGTTCCTAGTTGGTGAATAAATCGAGAAAGTATGAGTTACTTTTGTAAGTAAAAATATATACCTCTGAAAATAAGAACATTCTATTACCTATATCAAATGCTATGTCAATTTGAGAAATGAAATATCTCAAGTTTACTGTCGTTCTGTACTATGAAGAAAATGTCGCAAATGAGTGAATCGCTTTTGTGTGCACAAAACTAAAACTTTGTTTTGTGGTCGCATCCGTTCTTCTGGTTATATGTGATTATGATACTATTTTGACATTTGACAGTTCACTTTAAAAATTTTGAAGTAACGTATTTTGCTTCTGTATTTGAATCCAGATTTTTCCTAGAAATCGGATCAGATTCTAAAGTATAGAACTGTCCAAGAAAATGTCTTCGGCCGCTCAAAAAAGCAAAACTGCCATCACTTTAAAGGGTTCTGCTGCAATAGTCTGTGATTATTTGAGTAAGTTATCACATCAATAAAGATATTATGAGGGTTATGATGAGATTCCCTTGTAGATTACGGTATCAATTCGATATTATTCCAACGGGGATTGTACCCTCCTGAGAACTTTAAGGCAGAGGAGAACTACGGGCTCACGATTTTGATGTCTACAGATGACAAAATAAAGCAGTTTTTGTCTACAACACTTGGTCAGCTCAAAGGTAATGGGTTCAGTTTTCTTTGCCTCTTTTATATTTATTAAATGAATGTTTCTAAGAAGAAAAGAGTAATTATGCTTTTACTCACTATGGAATTATCAAGAAAGTTGTCAATCAATATTCATAAGTAAGAAGCTTTCAATGACTCCTTATCATCATGAAATGCATCATGTATGTGGGGCATAATTTAGAAGTACTTGAAAAAATGCTTCTGAACATGACCATTATATAAAAACATACAAATACATTTTCTGCTATAATGTTAATTCAGATCACATAACTTTAATAATTCACATGTAATGACTTGTTTGATGACTCAAGGAATTTCAACATTTTAAGTTGATGGTTCAACTTTGCAAACAATTTGATTTGCATGTACCATTTTCAAGATTAGAAATAGCGCAAATTTTTCATGTATACCAAGGAACCTTTCGTTATAATCATTTCATTAGTAAATAGGGCGAGATTAACAAACATGATTTTCAAAAATACAACTATTTATGCGAGAATGAATACTACTCCTCTGACAAATAGATGAGTTCTAGATCTGCTTTTCAACCTTCTGCAGGTTTTAATACCTGTCGTTTCATCTGCAACTGCGGTAGATATCAAAGATGACGCTTATTACCCACAGGTAGTATGTGCTGTTAGGGCATGTAAGGCAGTTTGTCTCATTGCTTTCGATAACGTCCACTGCAGTTGTAAACGAAACATCAGACAAAACCTGGACACCACTAACAAATCTGGAAAATATCTTTAATAAGGTTATATCCTTTCATGAAAATTTTCAATATATGTAACTTTTGCGATGTTATTTATTGCTTGTTTCATGTGATACATTTCTTGGTAACAATTTTTCTTGAAATTTATATTGAAACAATATTATAGAACAAGTAGAGGATGGATGTGACTACGAACTATGTATCTTTGGGAGAAAATGAATCTTGATTAGTCAAACCCATTTTGTACTTTTGTATACAATTTCAGTGATGACAAATAAAGTATCTATCTATATAATATTGGATAATTTTCCAGACTGGCTAATTGAACGAACAGTTAACAAAATAGCTGTGGTGATTACAAATGTAAAAACCTTGGAGGTAATGGAACGTTGGGATTTCAAAGTTGAATATGAAGGAGACACCAATGACTCTGAACAAGTATCCGAGAAGCCCCTTAAGCAAATTAAGAACGAAATCAGGGATGTCCTGAAACAAATAGCGTCTTCCGTGGCATACCTCCCACTTCTAGACTGTTTGTGTAGCTTTGATATCCAAATATACACCAAGAGTGATGTGAAGTTACCTGAAGAATGGGCCGAAGCACAACCTGCTAATATTAAAAATGCCCAAAGTGTGAAAATGAGGTCATTTACTACCAATATCCACAAAATGGAGACTGTAGTTACGTATAAAAACGAGGACTGAATGTTTTAATATTGTTAGGTTTTTTAAGGAGTTTTAAGGCTTATTTTTACCAAGACTATTACTTGTATTTTGAAGCTTATTGTATTTTTAGAAAGTTTTACTCATAGTGGTGAATAAATTGTAGAATTTTACTGAAGAAAGAAGAATTGAATCTTTCTATGTTTTACCACTTTCATTTGTGACTAATGTTACTGTAGTTTTGTCCTATAAGGTCATTTTCAAACATACATTATCATTACTTATACATTAATCTATAAGTAATGTATACATTATACAATAATGTATAACATTATTATCATTACTTATACATTGATCTATAAGTAATGTATACATTATACAATAATGTATAAGTTTGAAAATGTCCTTATAGGACGAAACTGCAGTAACTTATACATTATACATTAATGTATAAGTTAGAAAATATCCTTATAGGACAAAACTGCAGTAACGTTAGCTACAAATAAAAGTGTTGAAAACCATAGAAATGTCAATTCTCTTTTTTTTTATTATGATCTCCTACAACGTAGGAGGCTACATCCATAAATCTATAGAATTTTATTAGTTATATCAGTAACCTCTGGGGTAAAGATGTAAGTAAGATAATATGAATCAACTTCGAGAAAAATGTTGACAAAAGACAAAAGGCCATCTATTATACATTTTTGCACAAATGAAATAATAAGTACTGTCTAAATCCTACTTTATCAAAAACAAAACGTCAACTTTGGTACTCTTAACAGTATGTATTATAAAGAAAAAAAATAATGCTGTTTTGTATTTTTCTGGATTCACTTGAAAAAAATTGTAACTCTACCTATTATTGAGCTTCCAACTTCTGCCTCACTAGTCATAAATTGCTACAGGGCGTTCAATTTGATTTGAAACTGTGTGAAACTTGTTATAAATAGGTACAGTGCAGACTCTGAAAAAAATTTCAAAAACTGAAAAATTATAAATTGTACTGAAAATTTACCTCATCATTCAGACAAGAATTACCAGTATAAACTAAATTTCTAAGGCAACCATCATTCACCAAAATTCAGTCAATTCACTCTCGATCACATTTGCATATAGAAAGTTATTTGACTAACTATAAATCGGAAGAGGAGGTATTGCTTTAGCGGGTACTGTATGGAGATTTCAATATAGATTCATTATCATACTCCAGGAATTGAAGAAAAAATAATCTTGTGAATGATGAAGTCAATGCATAAATTTTATGTTCATAATTGAAAGTGGTTTCCAATGGATTTTACCTCCCAGTTTATATCTGAACAAAACTTCTGAGCATGATATACACATCTTTGTCCAGAGTTTATAGTGACATGCCATTTCTTTCGTCTTGTAGAATATCCTCACTTTCTACATGTTGATAAAAAAGTCAAAATATTTTTTCTCAAATATCAATGTCACTTCAATGAATGAAATTCCTTGATTTTTTTTTATGAACTAACATTGTGATGCTGTGCGAGAATTAAATGAATTGTTTTTCAAGGATATTCAGAATGGAAGACTAGTGTTTTCACCTGAATTTTCTAGAAGTCCATCTGGACTCTGTTTTTTTAAAGGATAAAACACAAGCACTACAGAAAAATCCTTAAAGCGCTCTCATAGCGGTGCCTGTACGAAAGTAGCGAAAGAGAATTTTCATAACCATACTCCTTTATTACTAGCGAGCTGCCCCGGTTCCGCACGGGTGCAATGCTGATACTAAATAAACAAACGCGTGTGATCGCTGCTAATCATAAAGTGCTATAGGACGAAGCGCGGCCTTCAACGCGCTATTTATAGACACGCGCGGCCGGTACCGCCGCAACCGCTATGTCCCTGCATTTTGAATCTGTAATATCTTCGAAAATATTCATTTAAATAACATGCTGTAAAAGGCCATATTGATCTATATTGAATGTTCAATGTATTTATAGTACTCAATTGGATAAGGATTAATGCTGTATTGGTTAAAATCGCTTCTTAAATAATCCATAAATTTTCGAGGATGAAAAATGGTTATCGTGGGTTATCCCTAATAGATTGCGACATATATCATCGCGGACATTTTTGTAGACCTTTTTTTGGTGTACAATACTGTAAAATATTTTTTGATCTACCCCATAGGGTTCAGCCAGCGTTTGCAATGTAAGCGCGAAAAAATGTGTTTATTTATTACATCACATTAGAAACCTCTAAAATTATCAGTGTCTCTATGCTATATTATGCATGTTATCTACATGTAAACCTTCCTCTTGAATCACTCTATCTATTAAAAAACCCATATCAAAATCCGTTACGTAGTTTCAAAGATCTAAGCATACATCGGGGCAGACAGCGGGAAGCGATTTTGTTTTATACTATGAAGTGATGTGTGGCATTTCCATATATGCTTCAATTCCATTACGAATTGTAGACTAGAGCCTAAACTCCCCTTACGAAGATACCATCTATGAAACCGATAGAGGACTAAACTGTTGAACGTCAAAGATGAACGCAAGGCAACTAATTGTGGACTAGAGCCCAAACACAACGCATTAATGAATTGTTTATGTTATGTTTGGGCTTTAGTCTGCACCTAGTTGCCTTGCAGTGAAAGACAAGAAGACGAATCTCGTCGGCTTTGAAATGTCGTTGCCCTTACTTCTATTTTTCAGTTCCTTTGAAAGATTTCCATCAAGTTACTTGAGACCAGTTATTCAAAAAGAACTGCAAAAACTTTTTACTACTCGTTGAAGATGCTTGTTTCTTCTGTTTCTAAATTCAGATAAACTTCAGGGTATTGCAAATCTTTTAATGATAAGTGTTGCTACTAATTTCATTCCAATTAAGTGTGAAATTTTTTTATTAATGATTGTGCTTCTTATGTGAATACTGCTAGAAATTTCTCGTTGAGGAAAATAAATGAAGTGAAAGAAACATTGGAATAAACTTTGGACACTTATTTCCTTATAATTACTCAAATCACTTGAGGTTGTCTCAAAAGATTATTTCTGGTATAAACTGATGATTCTATATGTTCAAAAAAGAAATTAAGACTAGAAAAAAACTCATATATACTGATTTTATTTAGTTATTGTCAATGAATACATACAGTAAGTAAATATTTTTTCTCACTATACATTTTTGAGTATTGTTATAGACATTTTAACATCAATAATAAAGTCAAAATGGACGATTCATTGTGAAATGAAACTTGTTGGCCATACAGTCAAAGTATATTTTTTTTGTTCAACTCTATATCCCTAATTTTGATTGTGAAGACATGTTTTTTAAACTTTTTCAGTTAGGTGCAAAACTTGTTCAAAAATAATATACATAATTCTATATCACATTCAGTTATAAAAAAAAACCAATTTATTTGACTTTACTATTTCACAAGTTCAACTTAAGCACTAATTTTGAAATTGTTAACATCAAATCAACATTTATAATCTTTTCAAGGGCTTCATCTTTTACGTCTTTGAATATATTTATTTTCGCAAAAGGCCTTCTTTCAAGCACGTGGTTAATGCTAGACATTAAAATTTGACAGTAACAATGCAACATTGAATTCATATACTTTTTTTAGCAGATATATTATTGTTCTCACAATTTATCACATCAATAGCCTATCTAAATGTTTTATATTTTCAGCTTTATTCGAAATCATAGTAAAAATATTGATTACTTTTCTCTTTTACATCCTTGCTGTATACAGGGTTATCAAGAAGAGTGGAAAAAGCCCATCTGGGCTTCAAAATAAGTGTATGAGGTGTTTGAAACTCTGTAAAATAATGTTATCAATTGATTTTCCATTTATTCCTCTACTTCGTCCAAACATTGGAATCATCAAAGTACAAGTATTAATTTTTAACTTTCCCTTTTTACCAACTTTAATAAGTTTATACTTCCCTTATTCCAAATGGAAATGTGTCATCATCATAAAACGGAAAAAGACTCAGTCTTGTTTGTGGTTTAATGAATATTGTATGTTTTCCTACAGAAATTAAGCTATAGAAAATTATGTTTAGAATGTGTTGTATGTTTCTTTGAATACGTTTTCAAAGATTGTTTACTTTGTCCAATGTAAAGATAGAATAATTATTTATCAATGGCGAACAATTAATTCCGAAACATCTCATACAAAATAATATTAAGTTATTCGGTTGATTTCAAAGAGTTGCTTTTGACTGTCAAATACATACTTTCTCTTATTTTGTTGGAAAAAATCTAATCCCTCGTCAATCAAACAATATTGGAAAAAAACTGGTAGGTATTTCTTTATCAGCAAAACTTGAAATATTGCTATTAGGGATGTCGAAGCAAAATTTGGGCATTTGAGAAAGTACAGATACCAAGTTCAGTTCAGAAACAAATTTGAGTTTCATAATGATATCCAGTAAAAATTTTTGATACTGTATTTTTTTATTATAATATTCATGGTTTGTGGCAGTGAAATTTGAATATGATTCGAAATCATTTCTTCTGAGTAAGAGATATTAGTGCCTTTTTGAAAGCAATGCTTTTTGAAACGAGTTGAAAACAAGGACAACCTGAAATCATGCCATAGTATTTTATATCCCGACTGCACCAAGTTTTGATAGTTTGAAATGTATTCAAGTATTACTTTAGTGTGAGATTTTCACTGAATAGAGTTTACAATACCGTAACACGTGTTTCGCTATAAATTAGTTTCTTCAGGAATGCTCAATACTGACGAGTCAGTATGAATACACCTCAGAAAGTTGTTCACTGAAAATCTCACAATGAAGTGTTTTTTTGAATAAGTTATGTATTTTCATCAAGTATTGGCCAATTCTATCACATAGTTTGAAATGTGTGGAAATCAATAATTTTCGAAAATGACTCGATTTTATAATAATTCGATAAAATTATTGTTGAACACAAAAGCTAAACAAATGCAGTGCATTTAATCACCGTGAAACTCTGTAAACGCCGCCTAGTTTTCAACTGTTTCATTATTTGCATTGAGGGAAATAATCGTATATAGGCCGAAAACGGTGGGTCCTACAAGGTCGGTTAAATTTAACACCACCTTTTGTAATACACAGCTGAATTTGTTATTACAGTGAGTACAAAAAGCGATGAAAAAAGGTTCTTTTAAAATATGTTGATGATGAAATCTTCTGAACGAAACGTC